CCGCCCGTCTCCGCCCCGCGCAGATCTCATCCGCACCATCCGCGACCCCGAGAAGCCGAACACGCTGGAGGAGCTGGAGGTGGTGAGCGAGAGCTGCGTGGAGGTGGTCGAGATCGGGCCGGGCGAGAGCCTGATCACCATCCGCTTCACGCCCACCGTGCCCCACTGCTCGCTGGCCACGCTCATCGGTAGGCTCGCCGCCTCCGCGTCCCCCGGAAGGGCCTCCCCCGCCTCGGCAGCCTCCACGGCCGCTCCGGGCAGAGGCGAAACCCGACCGGGAGGCCCCCGGTGCCCCCCCCCCCAGGCTGGCCGCTGAGCCAATATTTGTTTTTATTGGGGGCTGCTGTACAAATTTAACTTGGCAGAGTTAAATAAATATGTTAGACTTCTGGACTCAGATATGACAAGTGATGGTTAAAGCAAGAAGCACTTTATAAACCTGCATTAAATCATGGTTCATCATGAAACTATAAGCCAATTTTTTTTTTTGGGGGGTGCATCTCTTGGGGACAAGCAAATCATATTTTGGCTTTGTGCTCTCCTTGAAGCCATCCTTTCATTTTATTATCTAAGGGAAGATTTCTTGCCTCAGGATATCATAATTTTAATCAATAGGCAGCTTGCAAGCATCAAACATTTACAAACATCTATTTCTACTGAAGCAGGGGCAAGACCCTCGCTGGGTGTAGCTGGCACAGGTGACTTCAGGAGAGGCTCTTACCTAAGTGAAAAGCGTTCCAATGTGTTGAAAACTGTTCCCTGTTCTTTGCCGCCACTGAGAAAAAATGGACTTTGTACAGAGGCTTATCTTTTTTAAATGAAGCAAACCAGGTTCTCCCAAAATATTTGCTAAGCCAGGGCACTAAAAGTTAGAACCAGACTTTCCCCTGCTTGGCTCTTGGGTCAGTTGCTGTTCTGATAAAAAAAATAATTGAGAGACAGAGGATGAGTCATATGTCTGAAAAGCAAACTGAAGTATTTTTCATGAAAATTTAGGACTCTGTTTGAGGATCAAACTTCAGCGATGTTTACCTTTCAAGCACAAGGTATGTCATTTGTGTTTTTCTCTTCATTGAACTGCGAGAGAGGTTCTCCTGGAAGACTGTGGTTGCTGGCACTACTTGGGCTATAAGAATAGCACGGTGGCAATCCACAGCTTGCGTAGCCTCATCCTGCGGGAGAGAGGCTGTTTGCAAGAAGGCAGAAATGGAGAGGCCTAAGGTGACCCTAGTCAGCCATCACCGATGCGCACATTATTTCAAGTTTGTATTAATTAGTTTTGAGTTCAAATTTGGTTTAAAAGGGCCTATAAAAAGGGAAGGAAACACTTGCATAATTGTCACACTCTTTCAGAAACACATGAAAAAGAAATCTCTTGCTTTTAAAGCAGAAATGTTGGGTGTAGGTTATTTATTCAACATAGCTGGACGCAGAGAGGGGGGGGCAATGTGCAGATTCTTAATGGAGCAAAAGGTGTTTCTAAGCTGACATTTTTCTGTCTCATTAGCTGGAAATCTACATATCAGAGGGGGCTCATTCCATTGAGGAAGACAGTAAGTATACCTTCAGGTTGCGGTTAGAGTGAAATATTTTTAATGGGGAAAAAGCTGTTTAAAACTGATCGCCTTCATTTCCCCCCACAATGAAGACCCAGAGATGGGTTGAATTGAGTGTTCCATGCTTGGGGGTGGATAAGGGTGGGAGGGTAGACCCCGCTCTGCTGCACCAAATATTGTGTATAGGTCATTATTAAAAGATAATTCCATTGTTAGAGGTTAGACCTTCATCACAGGGAACTTCCTAAAGTCATGCCCTCCAAGTTGTCCCTTAGAAGAAAGTTTCCTGGGGGAGTAGTAAGGCAGATAGGATTTCCACTAGGTAGGAGCTGATGCGTCTAAGTGAAGCCCACCATGAGACATTTGCTTCGTACTGTGCAAAATAAAGATTTAAAAGTTGCATACCTTTTCACCTTACTGTTGCATTATGCCACTGCAAGTAGTAATTATGATGCTACCATAATTATTCATTTAGAAGATTGATGGATAATACATCCTGAGAAAAATAAAAAAGCAGTTAAAGGTATGAAGATGGCACATAATCAGTGAAAAAAAACCAGCCAGTCCCTCCTGAATCACTCCCTCTTAATCCCAAATGTGCTTTACTTTGTTTTTACTTCTTGGATGAGAAGTGAAATGTCTTTAAGCGAAAACAAAGAAAGTCCAGTTGCCTTTTGAAAAAGCACCTTTGGGACAACCGTGACCTGAATAACTGAGAATCTCCATAGACATTTACTTTTAATATTATGAGGTGGATTGCAGTTGCTTTGATGATAAATTTGCTTGGTTTCCAGTCAAAAGCTTCTTGAGAATTTTTCTATTGTGTTGCAGTCAACAAACAAATCAATGATAAAGAGAGAGTCGCAGCAGCAATGGAGAATCCCAGTTTGCGGGAGATTGTGGACCAGTGTGTGCTGGACCCCGACTGACTTGGAATATCTGCCTCCTTTGTATCAACTTCTTTATAACATTACCTTGAATTTAATACTGAAAATTATTTTTAAAGAATCATTTTGAAAGCATCCAATTAATTGCAAACAAGAGGAGTGAGCAGACCCGATCAATCTCAGATGAACTGTATAGAATAAAAAGTTAATATTCTCTTAAAATTGGTATTTTTAAATATGAACAATTTTTATTGCCAGGTTATAAAAAAGAGATTGGACAACCAGTCTGGAATGGTATAAGGCAGGGGTAGGCACCTTGGCTCTTTTATGACTCGTGGACTTCAACTCCCAAAATTCTTGAGGCAGCATGGCTCAGCTTGGAAACTCCCTTTCCCCTCAGCATGGCTGGCTCAGGAATTCTGGGAGTTGAAGTCCAGGAGTCATAAAAGAGCCGAGGTTGCCTACCCCTGGTATAAGGTCTCCTGCTCAAAGGGGTTTAGACTAGAGGACCTCCAAGGTCCCTTCCAATCCTATGTTCTATGAATGTGTGTTGTAATTTTTAAAATCCGATTTTAGTTGATTTTTCCACTAATGGGGTATATATGAATAGCTATTCTGTTAAAGGTGAATAAAATAGAGAATTGTTGAAAAAATGTTTTTTGCTATCATTGCATTTCCCGTATAAAGGGGAAAGGATGTGTCAAAACAGATGAGGAATAGGCCAGAATCCATAAGGGCAGGACTCCTATAACCACATGGCAGCAATGCTGTTGGCACTTGGCAATGAAAGAGCCGGACTGCCATACAGCGAAAAGAGTCCTTCTGGGACACAGAAGCTCGGTGCAATCTCCCGCCGAGGCCCTGGCCTCGACCTCAGCCCTGGCGCCACTGTGGCCACTCACATAGGTTGCCTCATGCCGTTCCCCCACCCTGGTGCCCGAGCCTTGCGGCATGGCGGCATTGCCCTACGGCCCCGCCTTCTCCAGGATCCCCCACTCCCCGCGTCCCTTCAGGCTCTGCTCTCTTTCTCCAGTAGGCCCTGCGGCCCACCCAAGGCTGCCCTGGGTCACGAGGCCTTTGTTCTTGAAGCAGCTTCAGAGAGGCCTCGCCAGCCTCTGAACATCTTGCGAAAGCACCCTCGCTCTTGCATGATTTTCAAAGGCTCTGCGGGCCACAAATGGGCACACCCAATTCTAGTGTTGCCTCTGAAAATTGCACAAGAACGGGGCATACTTTCAAGAGCGGTTGTTAGATGTTGGTGAATGCTGGCGTGTCAACTTCAACATGTGTGCCGTAAGTTTGCCATCACCGCACTTAAGCCATTCCCTCCAGCCCCCCCCTTTTGAAAACAGGCAGGGAGGGCTGCCACTCCTGCTCCACGCAGACTCCCCAGTGAACAGCTCAGACTGTCAGGGGTCCCCCTTTTAATTTCACTCCTTGTCCTGTCCTCAATTTCTGCCCTTCTGGAACTCCTCAGCACTTTAGATCATTCTGGCAAGCGAGATAAGCTGCTCCTTGCAGAGGGCCTACCCCTCGGATCAGGGGCTTCCTGGCCCATGGCCCGGGCATCCCACTGGGACTGCTGCAGCTTGGCTCTCCCTGGCCTCCAGGCCCCCACTGGCTCTTCTACTCCACCCGCCGCCTTGGCTCAAGAAGCAGCAGGGCTTGGTGACCTCCCAGGTTGATGCTTCTCACTGCTCGGCCGTTTGCAGATAGGCAGGAGGGCAAACCTGGCGTCTGTTACCAAGACTTGGCCAGGCTGCGGGGTGAGACTTTTCAGGGAGACAGACTGAGAGTCGGAGCATCTGCACCATTAAAATCCCACTCATCAAGATGTGAAGTTGGATCTTTGAGAAACATCCAAATTGGCACAAATTTTGAGCAGTTCCCGATTGACCTTTGCTGCCTTCCAAAGCCACGTGGGAGGAGTTGAATCTCACTGAGCGAACACAGGCGCGATTCACTCTTACATTTGAGCAGATTGTAGTCACGCTAAGCAAGCACAGAGACTAAGACGAGATGGGTACAATTTAAAATTTTAACAGAAAAACAAAAATACAACAGGATTAGCTGTAACTTTGCTACTGCAGTTTAACACATTTGAGAGCTATATTCATTAAAAATTTAGAAAGGTATTAACAATACTTTTCTCCCAATCAATTTTCAATGTTTCTGATTATGTTGATTGGGAAATTTCATCTTAGAATGAGGATGACATTTGGTATTCAGAAGCAGACAAATTGGTCTCGTGGTTAAGGCCCTGGAGTTCATGGGTAACTACAGGCCAGTCCCTTTCTCTGAGCCCTAGACAGGGGAGTCAAAACACCTCCCAGAAGGAACCAGGGCAAATAACTTCCACAGCCTTCTACAAATACTGTGCAGCCCTCCCTGCCCACGCAGCCACCAGGAGTCAAAGGAACCACAGCCCTCTCCCCAAACAGGCAAGTAGGCAAAGCCAGGCCATCCTTCCTTTAAAACAGGGCGATCCTTTATGATAGCTGAAGATTACACAAAGTTTGGACGTGTGGCCTGTGTAGACTTTTAAGGAAACTCCTGCACCATTTCTCCAATTTCAAGGTGCAAGTAAGAAAGCAATGTATTTTTGCCAGTGTGGCTAACGATGAAATTACAAATGCAGAAAATGTAGATCCGATATCAAGTGTTCTTAGTTCCCAAAGGAAAGTGAACAATGCTTTGGGGAGACTTGGTTGTGCAATGAAAGGAGGCAGAACAGCTGCCAGCCAGGTAAGTTTCCCTTTAGTCTCCCTCACCTGGGCAATTAGGCAGGCTGGCCTCTGTCCAGCACCAGTTACAGGCATCCTTTTGGCTTGCAAGTCTCAGGTGGCCCCAGATGGCAAGTCAGGTTGGCACAGGACTGCCAGCCCTGCTGGAGGACCTACTAACCCGCCCACAGCTGGGTGGCCTAGAAACACCTGACGGTCTCAAGAGCAGTAGCACCGCTTGTGTGTGTGTGCACGCGCATGCGTGCACAGTCAGCACCGGGATATTTAACTTCACTGTCTGAAGCTCCTCACATCTATAACAAGAAAAATCTTTGTAGTTATAACCCAACCAAATGATCAAATTATATTCTGTGGAATGCTACATGCTCATTTGCATAAAATATAAAAATAGTTGGTTTTATTCTTTTTTTAAAAATCACTCCTCAGGAGTTTTGTGCTGGCCTGCCAACACTGAGTGACTATTACCAACTGTAGCACCAGAGATATTTCTGAGGTGGCTTCCAAAAGCTGCTTTCCTGGGGCCAGGTTGCGTGTGCCCCCGCCAGCTGTTTCCGACGCTGTGGGCTCAAGGCCTCTCTCGCTGCCTGGAGCACAGCTCAGCCACAGGATTGAGCACCACACCAGGCAGAAAATATTGGTTGGTTTCTGAGCACTTGCGGAGCGAAGAGCTGACTGGCTGAAGTGGGTCTTCTGCAGCTCTCGCCCACCAGAGGTTCCTGGGCACGGAGGCGTTCACTTCCGGGAGGAGCGCTCATCACCACGATCCCGATGGAGCAGGCCATGTGGGTGGCAGGTCTGGCAGCACTGGGCACTGACTGCGGGCAGGTGGCACCTTCCCAGCCACAGCAGGGTCTGGCAGAAGCCGAAGGAGAGGTGGTCGCGCTCACAGATGAAGCCTGGGAAGGAAGAGAAGGCAGATACGGGGGGGGGGGGGTGTTACACAACCTCACTGAGTGGCAAACATTGGTTTGGTTTACACCTACTTTCCATCTAAGTGGGTTAAGAGGTTCACCCAACCTCCTGCCCCATCAATAATCCCACTAAGCATGTTGTGTGAGCCCAAACAATCTCTGTATCCTTCTTCAAAACAGCAATAGCCCCAAGGATGAGGGCCTTGGTCCCTATTGCTAATGACCATTTGCCACTCGGTATAAACTCCCTTTGGGCAGAAGGCCAGATAGCAGCGAGCTACTCTGCAAATGCAGCAGGAATGGGTTGGAGTCAGGTGACATTTGGACATCTGTCTTGGACATCTGTCTCAGATCTGGGGGCTTACAGAGGCCAGATGTCCTAGAGAGAGTCCAGCTGTGGGCAAATGAGTCCATCGGTCTTCTGCAGACAAACCAGGTAACCAGCCCAGAGGCCAGAGGTAGTCCTTCACTACCAAGTAATTAGCCAAGAGGCTTAAAGAGGTCTTCTCTCAAAATCTGCCCAAGCAGGCAGCCGTACCACAGCCAAACCTTTGCCACAAGTTTCACTGAGGCCAATCTGGAAGCTGCCCAGATGCCATAAATAGATCTACCAGTCACCTACATGTGGAACAGCTGCACACACAACCAACAGCGGTACCCTCCCTATTCCGAAGGCCCCTGACAGGCCCAGCCAGAACCTCCAAACAGCCAAATGCCACGCACCGCCCTAATAAGGGGCTCTGGGCAATTCAGCCACCAGCAGCCACCCCAGATGCCCACTTACCTGCTTCGCTGTCAGGACAGTCCTGGGAATTGCATCTCTGGTTGTTCTCTGGCCACGGTTCGTGCTCACACAAGCTACTGTCTTCTTCCGCCTGTCCGGTTTTTGTGTTCAGGCACTTCACTTGCCTCCTCTGGATGCCCTCGCCACACGTGGCCGTGCACTGCAGGGAACACAGAGCTCTCTGAGCACCGCTTGCCCTGCGGTGAGGGCACAGGGGGGCTGGGGGCCACGTCACGGAAGGGGGCTTACCTGCCCCCAAGATCCCACTCTCCACTCGGTGCAGGGCTGGGTGTTGCACAGTCTTGTACTGTTTGGCCGGAGGGCTGGGTCACACCTCCCCAATCCGGGACACGTCACCAGGCGCTCTTGCTCACCCCCTCCACACAGTTCAGAGCACTGGAAGGGTGGAAAGAGGCATCTGGCTGAGAAGCCGCTGGGATGGCCAGGCATCCTGGCGCTCCCTTCCTGCTAAGCCATCCCTGCAGCTCCAGGCCCTGGGCCAGTCTTCAACGGTGGAGCAAACGCAGCCAGAAACCCACCCACCCCCCAGAAGTAAGCAAGCCATGAACTGCTGGCTTCCACCTCCACTGAAGATATTCTGGAACTGCAGGAGCCATTTCTTCTGCAGCCCGAGTCTCCTTCTTGGGCATGCTGAGCTCCAAGGTTTATATGGGGAAAAAGCAGGAGAATGCAGTGGGCTTTCCTTCAGAGGGAATCATCGCCCAGCAGAACAATAGCTGTGAGTCAAAGCTCTAGCATGCCAAACATACCCTCACTCACTCACTCACTCACACACACACACACACACACACCAGCCTGTCCAATAGGCCAGCTGGCTCTTACACCGGCTGTATGTCTTGGGGGACAGAACTAGCGAGTAAGGGTCCAGGCTGCATTCGGAGTCTTCCCCCACTTCCAAAGACTTCCAGCTCACCTCTCTCCAGGTGGAGGTGTACCAACTCAGACAGGGCTTGGTGTGGCACGGCAACTGCGTTGGAGGCTTGTGTGAGGCAGTCTGGCAGTGAAAGGGCCGCAGAGGTCGCTGACCCCGTGTGTCAATGCAGTGGATGCTCCGAACCTTCACACCGCCTCCGCAGGTCCTGGAGCACTGGCGACAAACCAGAAAGAGCACAATCAGAGCAGCACATGAGCCACGTCTTCTGAGGTATGGCACAGAGCAGAAACCTGGCCACCAAGAACAGAGGTCTGCCTTAATGCCAGGAACCCACTGATCCTCGGGGATACTGACAAAGGCCATCCGGTCCAAACTCTGCTCAGTGCTGGATTTACCACAATGGGTGGAAGGAGAGCAGTCCTGCAGATGGCTACTCCAAAGAATCCCTCTGGAGGCCACCTTTATGGAAGTTTCCCAAAAGAGCTGGTTGGAAATCACTGTTTTGCCATTTCTACCTCCTGTTTTTAGGCCTGCCTTTGGAAATAACCCCAAAACATGTATACTGGTTCCTGCTCGAGAGATCTTCCAATCCTTGAGGCCGATTCTCACCTCAGGTATTTAAGCATCTGGTCCGCAGCCAGAATCTCCAGCTCTTGCCAACGTTCCTCACAGACAGTAGGTAGTTGGCTAGCTAGATCCTCATTCTGGATACAATCAAGGTTTACCATGTCCCCTCAGAATTGGACCTAATACGTTTCTCTCCTGAAATATTGTGTTTATCAAGTAACGCCTTTGCCCAAGTCCATTGAAACAGAGTAAAACAAAACAACTGATGTGCATCCAGGTCAATTGCAAAGCCATTTCTGGCCAGAAACATTTGCTAGCACCCTGGATGATTTTCCACACCTCCTCTCTAGTCGATGCCAGAGAAGGAATCAGGGAATGCCCTGTGAAAACATCTTCTCTGCTCAGAAAACACCCTTGTTTGCATGATTCACTGGCAATGCTCACTCAAAGGAGCGCTGGGGGTGGACAGGGGCAGGAAGGCACATCAAAGAGCCACGAGGACTCCTGATCCCGAGTAGCTTCTCTTCACAAGATCTACTCCTTGCCTTTCAGATCAGAAGGGAGGGAGAGTTAAGCTAAAACCCACATCAACTTATAAGTAATCTTGGCAGAGAGCCTAGGGCAAAAGGAAAAATCCACGGGACAAAAGGATGCGCACTCCCATGCACAATTAATCAAAAGTCTGCCCCCACATCAGTCTTTCTTTGGGATTAGGTGTGTCTACCTTACTCCATTTCCCAATGTGCCACTTGGAACACGGCCTCAGGTAACATCGCCGGGCAGGAGTGGGCTTTGTAGTCAAGTCACAGTCGTCCTCTTTTCCGGTGCTGCAGTGCACAACCCTCCAAACAGCCCCAAGGCCACAGGTTGTAGAGCACTAGGAGCAACAAGAAGCCCGTCAGCCTCTTCCCTTTTCCAAAAGGAAGTCATGCCGCCTCTCCTTCTGGCCTCTCTGGAAAGCGCTGGAACGCCAGCTGCACCCCCTCCCCAGGGACCCCACTCCTGCCTCCTTTCCCCCTGGCCTTCCCCGAGTCACAGCTGGCCAGGAGGGAGGACACTCTTTGGACAGGTTTCAAAGCCAAGCCCCACAGTCAGGACAGAAGACTGTATTTCTGCAGCCCTGCCTTTTTATCTTCTAGCTTTCTATCTTTTGGGGTCCACAAAATGACCCATATTGTAAAAAGAACTTGGCTGAGGCAAGAAGGGAGAAAAGGGGAGAAGCAAAATGATTGGCCGGAGATCTGCCCACAGGGATAATGCTCTTGGCTTTTCTGAGAACTTACCCCACTCCAGTTTCCAGCTTCCCAGCTAGCGTTGAGAGCAGCTATTGCAGCAGCAGCAGCAGGCGCTACAGAAGGTGCCATCTTCTCTCCTGGTTCCTGAAACCTCGCCCCAGGCCCGCCAGCACCTCCTTTACTACTGGCAATTGGCACATGGGGAGGTGGACTTTCACTTCTGCCTCTGGAGAATTCCCGGTCCTCAGTGGAAGGCATAGGCTTAGTGTCCAAATCTGTCTTAATCTGATTCGTTTGCTGCTGGTCTGAGGGAAGCAATGGAGAGGGAGAAAAGTTGGGAAAAGGTGAGCCCCGATCCAAAGAGTTTGATTCAGTTGGCATCTGTGGTGTCAGAGGGTCTGGATGGCGAAACGTTCTGCTGAATCCCGACAACTGGTATGCAGACGTGGAGGAAGACGTCCCTGACGGAAGCTCAGCCTTCTGGAGAAGGTCCCGTCCTGAGGGGCTGCTCCTCTCTGCATCCACAACAGAAGCAGCCGAGGAGGCTTCGGCAGAGGGAGAGAGATGATGGGCGAGGTGGCCGGGTGCCCCAGTTATTCTTGCCGTTGTCGTTGCAAATGAATTTACCGGATTTTCTTTCACTCTGTAGGCAGTAGCTGTATTACCTTCACCACGGACAGTGGCTCTGTCTCTATTGCTCTGCTTTCTGCTGGTTTCTTCCATCAAATGATTATCACTGAGGTCGGGGAGCTTAGGGTCCTGCATCCTTCCACCAGGATTTTCTGTGCTGCTAAGAGTACCAAATTCACTTCTCCAATAGTTGTCCTTGGCAGAAGACATTGTTGGAGTAACTACATCCAAGTCAGGAGAGCGGGTGGAGGAACCAGGTCTTGCAGTGCTGTCTTTCAAAAAAGTAGTTGCAAAAGGAGGTTCTTGAGTAGCACCACCCAATACGTGGTGGTTGCTCTCCAAAGGAGGGGACTTCACTGTTGAAGTGGAGGGGAGATTGTCCGAAAGTGATGGCTGGAAGTTTTCCCGATGAACTGAAGCAGAAGAGCTGGCGACAACTGGGGTAAGAAAGGGATCCTGTAAAGTGCCAGTTGTGCTTCTGCCCTGAACGTTATCGTGCTCCTTCTCATATTCCTGCCCAACAGTGGGAAAGGTGGAGCCTTGATTAGCCAGCTTGACTTCCAGGTCTGTGGTGGGGGAAAGATCAGGAAGCGTTTCTTGGGGATCCGCCTCCACCTTGTGAAAAATCTTGACCCCAAAGTTGGGCTTCAAGTCTTCCTTTCTACTGTTCTTTTCCTCAACCAGCTCATAAGCCAAATCCTCATGGAAATTGATAAAATTATAATCATAATAAAAGTCATCCACAAACACATTTCCCTTCTTATGGTTGTTGGGGGGTAGAACTTCCTCTGCAATAACATTTTCAGATTTGGGAGCTGAAGGACTAAATTTGGGGGCAGGATAATTGGGGATGAAATTGATTTCGTTGAACAGTTCCTGGCTTGAAGAGCCACTTCCAGACCAGTCGGGAGCAGCGCCCTCCGCCCGACTCCAGCAGGGGGGAGCCCAGCAGTTGAGCTCAGCGGCCGGTCTTTCCGCTGGATCGCACTTGGCTCTGGGGTCCGTGGGGCAGAAAACGGGGCGCCTTCGGGTTCCTTTCCCACAGGTCACTGAGCACTAGAAAGGCAAACCAGAGGAGTTCCAGAAACGAGCGGCTGCTAGGCGGAGGCCCTTGCCAGAAGCAGAGAAGACGGGGGGGGGGGGGGGGAACAAGCTGGCCTCCACCCTCCACTTTCAGGACTTGGGGTTTCAGAATTAACTGTGCTCTACAGAAGATAAAATTTGATTGTGGGTCAAGGGACAACTTAAAGAAAAGTCTAGCTAAGGATACAGAATTAAGACTAGAAGAAGAAAGAGGCTGCTTTGCTGAGGGAAAAAGGGAGATTTCCAGAACTTTGGCTGGTCCCACAGTTCAAAACCAGCGAAGATCAACATTTTGCCGAAGCAGAAATCACGTCCCATCTTGGAAGGGGGGGCTTAAGGGCAAAAAGACAGAAAAGAGGCCCAGAGGGCTAGGAGAAAACCCACAAATTGCCCCCAGGCCTCTGTCCTCCTTCCTGACATACCCCAAGGTTCCTATAACCTTTGCGATGTGATTCTCTCACCTTTGACCAGTTGCCCATGACCCACGGTGCCAAGCAGAGGACTTCGCGGTTGCAAGCAGCTGTGGTCTCTGGTTTGGTGAGATGTTGGCACTTGTCGGGTGGCAGAGCTTGCTGCTCATCCGGGGCCACGCTCTGAATGCAGAGGACGGTCCTCTTCATCAGTCCAGAGTCGCCACAGGTGGCCGAACACACCTGCCACTCCCCAGCCCACCACCTGTGGAAACCCACAGACTGAATGAGGAGGTCACCACGACATCCATTTTGCTATATCCCGGACTGAGCATGTGCAAGTCCCTGAACCTGTCCTCAGACGTCCAGGGGGTGACGTGGAGACCCCTTTTGGGGGAGACTCTGGCCGGCTTCTTCATGAGGATGGTCTCTGCAGGCCAGAGCTGGATGAAGTGCTGCCATAGAGGCCCAGCCTCAGGTTATGGCTGAGCCCCAAGCTCTGCAGAATTGGCAGAGGAGCATTCTTCTCCCAGACGTTTATTTTTGGGCAGAGTTTTTCCTTTCAATGGTGGAGCATCCTACAGTTTGAATAGCTTTGGGCAAGCCCAAGAGCTGACCTGGCTGGACATGGTTCCTTGTTGCAATTCCTTCGCTGGTCATCAGGCCGGCTAAGAGCATCACAGTACCGCTCCTCCACAAACCCAGCGGCTTTCTCAAGGCAACGCACCATCTGTCTCTGGACCCCTGAGGGTGGGAGGAGAGAGCGCTTAGAGGGAGGGAGGGAGGGAGGGAGGGACTCCATCTGCACACATGCCAAGGGGCAAGGATACATGCTGGGCACGGCTTATCTGGGGACAGAACAAAATCCTTTTGTGTGGTGTTGTGGTTCTCAGCTGTGAGCAAAAATCAGAGAGGAATTTGAGTTCTCCCATGACTTATAAACTTGCAACTTAATTTTCATTTCAAGTTGAACCTGAACCTTGAGTTCAGTCGCAACTTGGAGTCCCTCTGCAAGTGTCCAGGCAGAAGTGCTTTTGCATGTCTGCTGGGTTACACTCCATTCCTTTGTGGGTCTTAAATTCTGTCTGAAGCGCAGTCAGGATCTCTCCAGAGGAATCGGCTGCCATCATCTCTTTGCTGGTCTCCAATGAGCAGGGCTATGCCAAAGAAGCCCCTTCCCAACCCAGACCCCCCGGGCCAAGCCCCGCTCTGCTTGCTGCTGAGCACAGCTTGCTGGGCTGCTGCTGCTGCTGCTTCACTGACCAGGAAGATTTAAAGCTTCCTGCACTGTCTCAGAAGATCCGACGGGTCTGGTGCCTCAAAAGCAGACCCTGTCACGTGAGAAGCACCCATTCCTATCCCGATCCTGACTGTTCTTTTAGAAAAGCCCCTGGAGAGCTGGATGCTGGCTCCCCTGGTCTCTGGACTGCCCCAAAGCAAGAGCCAGTCCAATCTGACTGCAGCTGGACAGTTGCTGCTACTGCTCAGGCCGCCAAGAAAGCAGCTTGCTGCCCAGCAGGCAAGTCCTCACCTGTCCCACAGGTAGCTGTGCATTTTGTCCAGGGTCCATAGTGCCAGAAGAACTCAGCTGGAGCAACCGAAGTCTGGTTCTTGGACTCCTGCTGGATGGTGTACTGATAGCGGACTCCCGGGTTCTTCTCTTGAAACAGGAGCTGAGGGCAAGCACAAACACACTTGAGCTAAGCAAACCAGAATATTGGGGAAACACAACAGTGAAACAGCCCCCCCCTTGCATAAGGCCTCCAGAAATGATCCCTGTAGTTTGTATAACGATGTCTTATTATTTCCCTCAAGGCCATCTCCATAGCTCACTACCAAATGTACAATAGGCTTCCCCAAAAGAACTGGACACGATCCAATCGTATGAATTCATGCATCTTCACATTTCCCGAGCAGGACGTGAACCTTTGACCTCTGAGGCATTTTTCCCAAGATAAATATAGAAAGGAAAGGAGAACCAGAATGGAAGATCTGGCTCTCTTCCTGAGGGTGAGGGTGAGGAGAGGAGGTGGAAGGAAGTCTCATTTGTTCCAAGGCTTTTCACAGCCAATCAAACCCACACCAAGAAAGTGGGGAGGCCGGGAGGGACCCGTTCTAGCAGGGTTGGAAGCCCAGACCGGGAGCCTCGGAGTGATCTGAGCTCCTCTCCGAAGTATTTCAGAGGAATAGAATAGCTACGTGGGTGGAAGAGAGCTGACCAGCACCAAGGATCTCTTAAATCACTCCCTTTGTTCTGGATCTCACAAGCGGCTATTCAGCAGAGGAACAGAGGCCAGAAGAGGAACATCGCTCCTTGGCTGGAAGGCAATGTTCAAGCAAACTCCTCCCAGTGAGATTAAAAGCCTCCCAATTCATTACATCCAGGCCTTCCTTCTCTCCAAACGGAGAACGTTGATTTTAAAAGTAACTTATTTTGATTAATGTGCTGGCCAGGCTTATTACCGTCAGGGTCTCAGAGGGCTCCCCACATTAACACCCGTCATTGGGAGAGTGGGCGCTTCCCCACCTGACTTGAATGCCTACGCAAGGGGAGCCTCCGTCTTTCCCTCCGTTCAGCACCCTCAGACCCACAAAGGGAGTCTCTGCTCCCAAGGCATTTGTGACTGTCTGCAACGGCCTGCATCATTCACGCTCTCTTTATCTGGGCTTTATTCTTTCCCCCAAAATGCAGCCCCCCTCTTAATGTCTCAAGACCACCAGTACTTGGTGAAAAGCAGAGGTCTGCATCCAAACAGCAGAGGACAATCTGCCCCCCCCATCCCACCGGACTCTGTTTTCTTAACTAAAAAAAAGGCAGATATAAAACCTGAGAATGAACGGAATGTCGTTGGTCCCGAAGCCCATCCCTGCCCCTGGAGAACGTCAAGCTTTCCAAGCAAGGCTGGGAGGCAACCCTGCCACTACTGCTGTTCTCCAAGAGTCCTCTGGGCAAAAGGAACTGATGGCTCCAACTCCATGGCAGCCGTCTACGGCACAAGCAGCCTTGCCCAAGCAGTGACCTAAGGACGGAGCTTGCCACCCTCCAGCCCGCTTCCCGTCCTCCAGAGCCCGGCGGCAAATCCTCCTTTGCCTACCTGAATCCAAACGGGTTCTTCTGTGGGCCCTGGAGAAGTCAGGTTTTCCCAATTTCCCATCCTCTTGTAGGTGAAGGTGGTCCCAGCCACCTTGTAGTCACCGTTCCACTGGATGGTCCAGCCACCATTCAGGAAGTATTTCTTGGGGTCCTCACTTCTCAAAGCCAGGAAGTTCTCTGCTTCGGCCACCTCCACGATCTGGATCTCACGTGCTCCGGCCGGGATCAGGCCAACATCAACGTAACCTGTTGGGATGCTGAATGCTTGTCACCAGCAGGCAACAAGGGAAGGTCCTCGTTCCCACCAAGTGGAATGGACCCACTCTTTCTGACGGCTACACAGGGAGCCTCCTGAGCGTCTCCCGAGAGCTTCTGCCTATTCTAAGGGAAATCGGTCTCAAGGAGGCCAAACCACCACTGGAAAAAGATGCGGTTGTGCTTTCGCCAGAACTTGCAAGAGGTCAGGAAACCCTCCAGTACTCCCCAAGGGAAGGCATGTAAGCACACATTTCACGGGAAGCAACAGCCCAGCCACTTCTATGAGATCCACTTCCTGCCCAAATCCTTTGGGATCACGGCATTTCAAACTTCCCTCCCTTACGATCCTCATTTGTCCTAAACCCTTCCTGACACAGCACAGCTCAAATATTAAGAAATCTAGATCTTCTCACCCTCAAAGAACGATAAGAATTCACAAAACTCTGAAGCCTTCTCCTTGCCCACACCAGCCTTCCCGAAATGAAGGCGCACTCACCCAGCCCCTCGCTCTCCTCAAAGGTCTTCTTGACTGTCTGACAGGTTGATCCATCCCCCTGGCACACACCACACCGGTCCTCCACAGCGTAGGAGTCAATTTCATAGTCGCAACCAATGTTCTGGAAGAGATGGGGGGGCAATGGGCACCCTCCTGAGCCCCCTCTGGGAGAGCCCTGGCTTGCCATCCTGGGTGCCACCTGAGAGACAGGTGCTCCCTTGGCGGGAAGGAGCGTCCGCCACCCCAGCTCACCCCCTTGAGAGCAGCAGCAGCTGTGCTCCCCATGCAACAGGACCAAAGCTGTGGACATCCACTCTTCACCCGGCCAATGATTAACCGGGCCTTAAAATACCAAAGCCCTCTGTGCTCTTAATCAGTCCTGCGTGAAGAGCATCCAAATGGGGTCTCAGAGGATTCCCTTTCGCCACCCCAGTCTGCTTGGGCAGAGCCACCCAAGGAAGGGGCAGGGCTGCAGCTGGAGTAACTGAGGCAGCCCTTCTTGAGTCAAGCAAGGGTAAGCTTGCTGTGCTAGCAGAACCACCGCCTCCTCCTTTCCTTGGAGTCCACCATGCAAGCCCACGTCACCCTCCACCCTCAATAGGTGGAATTTTAGATATGCCGGTGGGAGGGAGAGAATCCCCCCCACACGCCTACCTTACAGATCCCGTTAATGCACCTGTCTCGCCTGCCGCTCCCTTCATAGCACGGGGTCCCATCAATGGCAGCATCACGAAGCTTTTCAGCAAAGTACTCCTTGTCGGGTCGACAGTGCAGCTCGCAAGGGTTGCCTGCCGAGACCAGAGGAAAGAGCCTGAGGGCCCAGGAGCTCCTGCCCCAGGCCTGCCAGCAGGACCCACTGCAGCGCAGAAGTCCCGGTGAGAAAAGGACTCCGCGACTCACAGAAATGGCTTCAGAAGCAATCAAGGGTACAGGCGGCCTGGTGCCCACAGGCGAGAGCACAACTCTGGGTGGTAGATGCGGATTTTGGTGCCCACCAGATTCTTCCTTATTTCTTATAGAATCACAGGGCTGGAAGGGACCTAGGAGGTCTTCTAGTGCAGCCCCCTGCCCAAGGAAGGGGATCTTATACCATCCCAGACAGATGATTGTCCAATCTTTTCTTGAAAACCTCCAGTTATGGAGCACTGATCCAGCTCTGGAAGTCACAGAGCACTCGGGACTCTGCGGGATGAGAGCACATCCTAGAATGTTAGTTCATCTTCTGGAAAAGGGCAGCTTTGTGACAGATTGTGCCAGCCACAAGAGCCACCTGGGGAACAGGTAAGTCCCAAGGGCACCATTTGGTAAATGCCCCCTTGCACTCGTTACCCCAATTCACACACCGCCTCCCTCCGGGCAGACGCGCGATCCTCCGCTTGAGAGAGGCTTACTGGCATTGGGGACGGGGCTCCACTTGTAAAGCTTTCCTTTGTAGGGCCGGTGGTCAAAGCGGCTGCACTGGATCTGCCGAAAAGAGGGCTCCCCTGCCGGACACGGCTGTGCGTTGCAGACCCTGAAGCGTTTCCGTTCTCCCAGGCAGTATCGCCCGCCATACTTGGGGCTGAGGATTGGAAAAAAAACCCAACTTCATCTGCTTGAAGGAGAAACCATCCTCCCCAGCCTGCCTAACTAAGCAAGTCGGTGCCGCTCCCCTGAAAAGGCTGAAGGCCAGACGGGAGACTGAAGGGAGAGTCCCCCGCAGAGGTCACTCACGCAGGATTGTTGCATGGCCGCTCCGCGTTCTGCACTCCAGCCCCACAAGTCCGGGAGCAGGCCGTCCAGGAGCTCCAGCCTGCCCAGCCTCCATGGACAGACTCTGGGCGGTACCCAACACTCACACACTCTCCATTGAAGCACCACTGGAACAAGCAGAGGCCCATCAGTGACTAAGAGGTCTGGGGTGCTTCCTGCAGGGGCGGGCCACTAGTGGAAGTCTCACTCCCTCCATGATAGACTACCAGTTAAAAGGAGGGTGGTGGCTCATGTGGTCAGAACGCTGGGTTAGCAATCTGCAAGCCCACTGTCAACGAGACCCGGGTGCTTCTGGAACTGGCCACCTGGCAGGAGCAGAACCACTTGCCAGTTTTAGCCAGGCAGCCATCCAGAAGGGGGGCATCAGCCAGGACACTAATGCTGGCACGAGAACCACAGGATGGCACTCTGCCACCCTGTTCTGTCACACTCTCACTCTTCCGGCAACTCCTGAACAGGCAAGCAGCCTGCCATGAAAAGGGCTCAAGAAAACCAGTTGCATTCAAGAATGGCTGGAGTGATTATGGCCACCCTCTTGGACATTCAAGGAGAGAAAGTTGCAGCTGCCTTTTAAAAGATGTCGAAGCTCCTCTCTCACTGGACATCTAAGACAATTGCCCATCAGACACTGCCTCCCCGCACCCAGCCGGTGCTCAACTATTAAGGGAACAGCATAAATTGTGCAGTTGGAGATGCCCTTCAGCTCCAGAGCATCTTTCAAAGCATGCCCACTGAAAGAGACTTCTGAGCAGAGTTCCGCTGTGCTCCAGGGTTCGTGTTGGACTGCGAATGCCTCCCTGTGACACGGCATGATTTAGCCAAGATGGCATTTGGGAAGCAGCTGCAGGGCGGAGGCTCCACCCCAGATCCCAGGAAATACCTTGTTCTCCTCACACTTGGTGCCGTCGACAGCTGCGTCCAGCTTGGAGTGACATGTGTTCCCCACAGAGCACCAGAGGGTGTTGCAGACGCTCTGCGGAAAGAAATAAAATGCTCTGAATTTGTGGCCGGGGCAGGGAGGCCGAGCTGCTGACAACCGTGCCGGGAAGGTGGCTCTCTTCCTCTCCACGTGCAGCAGCAGCAAGAGGAAGAGCCAGTGGCAGCAGGGCAGGTGGGGACCTTCCTCTTCCCAATGGCGGAGGACAGGAGAAGGAGGCGGACGATGCGGGCTGCCCTTTCTAAGGAAAAAGTTGCGATATTCCTGACAGGTCCAGACCTCGGGGGAGGAAGGCTTCGGTCCCCTGCTGCCTGTACAATTTAATTCAAGAAACGTTTTCCATCCATTTTTGTAAGCTTTTAACGATCACAGCAGGTACAGAAATACATACCCCATATATTCTCTGATCCAGTGTTTCTCAGCCTTGGTCACCTTTATGGTTTGTCCATAAAATCTTAAGGTGACCAACCTTGGGAAACCCTGCTCTAATCCGGTCCAAAGTCACTGGCCAACACCACCTCCTTTTCCTGAAACGCGTCTGCCACCGACGGGCCCCTCCTCAGAGGGACTTTCCCCCAGGGGCAGGACCCCCTCCGTAGTCCGTCCCCCCCCCCTTACATCCATGTCATCGCAGTAGGTGGAGTAGGCGCCATACTGGAGTCGGCACTGGTGGCTGACATCGTAGAGGACTCCGGGTGGAACTGAGGGGAAGCCGATCACGTCCTTGGCTGGGGGGTCATCCAGACAAAGCCCCCAGCCCCGGCTGCAAGGAGGAGAGGGAATGAGGGAGGGAGGGAGGAATACAATCTGGAAAGAATCCAGAATAGAGCATCTAGGCGGGTGACTCTCAACTCAGGGCACAAGGAGGGGGAGAGACCTTTTGCCTGTGGAAAGCCCCTGCCCCCCCCGACTGCAACCTCATCTGGTTCCCTCAGCCCACACAGATCAGCAGGGCTTTCTTAATCAGAATAGAGCCGAAATGGTATAGGGTTTCCTGCCTGAGCAGGGGGTTGGACTAGATGTCCTCCAAGATCCCTTCCAACTACCAACTTTATTATTATTATTATTATTATTATTATTATTATTATTATTATTATTATTATTATTATTATTATTATTACTGATTGCTCTAAATGCAGCAGCAGAAAAATAAAAGGGGTGCAGAAGACTCCCCATTCCGCTGCCTCCCGAGAGAGCAAGGGGGCTGCTACGGAAGGCGGGGGGTTGACTTACTCCAGGAAGCGTGTGATGTATTCCCTGCTGCACAGAGACCAGGTGAGGGGCGAAGTATCGTACAGGAGCTGCGGAGACATGATGAAAGGCCTTTTCCCAACTGGCTCACAGTCATTGCCGCTGCCGTCGTGCTGAATCCCAAAACTGCAAAGGCACAGCCCCCAGAGGAGGTGAGACACACATGCAAAGGGGGTCAAAGCAGCACCCCAGAGGTCTCTGGAGAGTCAAAGGAAGGACCGGGGAACAGGCTGGGGAAATGCCTTGTGGCTTCGAGGCACGTAGCAGGGGAGCAAGAGAACGACACACACACCCATTAAACATCCTGCTAGGTTCAGTCCTGAGTGGACTGAAAAAGTGGGCCTGGGGGGAGGGGGAGGGGCTTTTCAATCCATGCCTACATCTCTGCAGACACTGTCTGTTGGTGAAGGCAAGTTCCCACCTTGCCAAGGCCCGTGCCATTTTGTGTGTGACTGAAAAGGGTAAGCAGCAAACCTCGGGGCAGGAGATGGGGTGGCAATTGTATCAATGGGGGTTGCTGGGCCGGTGCAGAAGTGTCGCCACCCAGAAATGATCACTGGATCTACACTTAGAACCAAACAACTTGCAAAGGCCTTTCATGAGATGGTTGGGGAATTCTGGGGAAAAGGCCAACACCTCTTAAGGTTGCTTTGTCAGTTTTACAATTGTGCACTTGTGTCTCTCCTCCCACGACCCCTATAGTTGGAGATGCACTTTCAATACCTTCTGTCAAGCCCTTGTCATTCAACCACAACCACAACCAAGATTTCTCCCAGAATTTCCTTGACGTGACTCATAAAAAAGGAATGGAGTAAGGTTACAGAAACCTCAGCAACTAGACAACTTTCACTTCAGAGCCCCAATTCATCTCTCAGCTTATGAAGGGAGAGACTTTTGGAGGGTGAGGTTTCCACTGAAGGGCCCTGTGAACAATGATGAGGCACGCCATCTCCCTGGGGCTGAGACATCTGGATGTCTCCAGGCTCTAAACATGCTTGTGATCAACCTCTACAAATCTCTGCTTAGTCTTAATCTCGGACAGGCCAAGATGCCCGGCTGCAACCTTACCTGTGTCCCAGTTCATGGGCCACGGTGAAGGCCAATGGAAGACCCGTGTCCTCGTTCACATTGCAGCTCCGGTGTGGTTGGCACATGCCAGAGACGTGGGCCAGGCCCAATGTCTCACATGGGCGGTTCATGGCAGTGCAGAGATCCTTCCTTTCCGAGTCAGGGAAAAGCACACACACACACACACAGAGAGAACAAAAAAGAGGGTCACTATACTGAGCAAGACCCAGCTGGGTTAAAGGAAAATAAATTGGCAATTGGAGAACTCTAGGAAAAAAACAAGGGCCCAGCTCAAAAACAGAAGCAAACCAACATGCTCAGGCATTTCAGGTCCAGTTGCAGGACACCGGCGCAGTGTGCATCTCAAAATACTGTAAGACTGCTTTGCAAACTGGTGTCAGAGCCCCGTCTCCATCAAGAATGTTCTCTCTTCAAAGGAGTTCCTCACTTTCAGTGAGACTGACAGATGTTAGAGACGGCACTGAAGTCATGGGGATACCTGGTGAGCAAGATGGCGACATCATGGTGCAGGGGGTGAGCATCCCCCTTGGGGTTGATGGCTTTCTGCCACTTGCAAAAACTTCTCAAGGTGTTGTCGGCATGGTGACTAATTTTCAGATCCTCCTACGTAAAGAAAATTAGAACCCTCAATTAACAGACAGAGATACTGCGCTGGTATAATTATTATTGCCGACAAACTATAGAAAAGCATGAAAAGCAATTAAAAGCTATATCTATACATATAAACAAACCCAGGGTATATAATTATTATTCATAATTCCCCATTCTTCCAAAGCTGAGATTGTTGAACTCCTATAAAGATTTTACCAATCTCAGAAACTTGGAACAAACATAAAACACCTACTGAAAGCATCAAGACAGCAAAGCCAAAGGAATTCACGTCTAAAAAGGATTTTAGTGGCTGTCTGGATCAGCTTTCAAGCAATGGCTAATGGCTCTTTGTAGCTAGCATTACAAGAAACCTAAGAGGGCAGTGAAATTGCTGCAGGAAGAGGCAAGGGGACGCACAAACTACGGACCACCACAGAGGAACGTGAAATGGAGCGGTGGAGACAACAGAATGAATATCCTCAGCTTTCTGCAGAGATGAGCAGACGCAGCTCTACATCATGTCTTCTTCTGTCTCTTCTTACCTCCTCATCCTCCAGAAAGATGAGACGCACAATAGAAACGTGGACCGGGTTCCCAATGCTGGCATCATGGAATAAACCAGCCACCTGCATATTGGAAGAAGTGGAGTCCCTCAGTGAGCTCTGCACACGAGAAGGGAAGATCTCTCCGCATCTCAAATGTTTCGATCAATCAAATTAGCCCAAATCTCTCCTGCCCTTTCCCCAGCTGAGAGATGCTCTGTCTGTTCCACAAAGGAACCACAACCAGCAACCTTTCGCAATGCTCACCATGTTCATGACTGTCAGGACATACTTCTCAACATGCCGGCTGCCGTGGTACTCCACCATCTTGGTATCAGCCACCACCAGGGTCTCCACCCACTTCTCCTTACTGACCGAGCGTGGCTTGATCCGCCGCTTCCTCTGCTGCTTTTCCTCCCAACGTTCCCTCGACCTCTCCGAGCCATTGGCATCTTCTTGAAATTGGAGAAGACGGGAGACGATGACATCCTAATACGCTGGCTCCCTATCCTCACAGCTTAGGCCGACAACCGTCTTCCCCGAGGGTCTCGCAGGGGATCTGAGCTTTCCAGCCATTATGCTTTAGAACTGGAACCAGGCTCTACCCTCCATACCCTCCCACCCCAATCCAGGAGTCACAGTGCCATCATCCACTATCTGTTATGCCTGTTGCCCCTCCAGGTCCAGGCCCAATTCTGACCTCTCCTGCCTCATAACCCACTACCCCCTTGGTTTTCAGATCCGTCCTGGGCCACTTTTCATTTCCCCCACTTGAGGCTACCCAAGGACAAGGCAGAAGAAGGGGCACATGTGGCTCCTATCCTCTGCCTACCCAACTTGGCTGCTGAAGGCCCTTCCCCTCCCCTCCTTTTATCCCACTGCACTAATCCTGGGGATCCCTAAAGGATGTTATTTGTTTTGGTGCTACCGCCAAGCCCTTTACTGGTCTAGAAATCTTTGTTTGCCTCCCGTCCTTCTTTGCTACTGACCAAAGGTGAGTAGGTAGAATGTGGGGAAGGTATGGGATGATGCAACCATTCTGTTCACATTTAAAGAATATTTAACTTTTATAAAAGAACTGAACATGGGCTGTCCAAAGACTCTGCTGCTTAGCCTTCTGGGCACTCACCCTTGCCCACTGCTGCCCCCAGGAGTCTCTGGCCCTCCGAGCAGCCCCTCCCTCCAGAACATAAACTCAGAGGAGGTGCCCACATTCCCTTGCTTTGATTGGCAGTTTCACCACCCAATCATCGCAAATACCAGGTAACTGAGGACAACTGAAGACTGTCTCCCCCTCCTGCTTGGACACGCTTGAGCCTTCCTGGGACCCAAAGGGTGGCCAATTGCAGGGCTCCTTCCTTTTGTCTGTCCCCAATTTCTGAAGGGGGGGGGCAGGAATCCTGCTGAAGTGCATTTTTCCCAAGAAGCCTAATCCTGTTTCTTCTACCTCGGTTTCAGCAACCTTGAACACAATAAACAGAACTGCATGCTCCATGCTCAACCATTTCCCTCGCCCTGTGATTAGCTGGATGTTTTAGGTAAATGAGGGCATTGTCTTATTATGGGCTGCCTTCTGCAGCTGGAAGACTAAATGCCATGATCAGGCTGAGGGAGGAAGGAAGGAGGTCCGTTTCTTCCAGAGAAAAGGAGATGCCACAGAGGCAACGCATGTGGGCCTCTGCTCTGTAAACAGAGCTGGGGTGGGGAGGGGCTCGGGCTGAACAACCGCTGGCCCAGAAGTTCAGTCCTAGGAGAAGAGAGGTGGGTGTGCCATCAAAATGGTTTCTGGAGGAAACTATTTTATAAAAGGAAAAGTTTACCACTACTTGGATTTATGTGAAAATATTTTCCATGACAATCATCAGGGAGAATCTGAGCACCGTTTTTGTCTAGCACATTTTATTAAAAGGCATAAACTCTGACGAGCTCCACCCTTTAATAAAACTGATTAGTCCGAAAAGGTGCTCTCCGACTCCTTTTGATTTTGGGCTCGCGCAGCTCTGGTCTTCCTGCGACAGTTAAATCCACTGGAAATAGGATTTGCTTTATTTAAGCTACTTCTTCAGATGTTTCTGCAACCGTAATTGGAATCTTCTCTTTGTGCTGGGAACTCAAGTCTCCTGAGCCTTTAAGAAGAGACTGAACTGGCCCAGGGTCTCCGGCTTGAGCAGAGGGTTGGACTAAGGCAATGATGGCAAACCTTTTAGAGACCGAGTGCCCAAACTGCAACCCAAAACCCACTTATGCACTGTCGGGTGCCGGCTGGGTGTGGCCCATTGGGTGGGCGTGGCTGCGGTGGTAACGGCAGACTGGGTGGGACTAAAAAGTTCAATCAATCAATTCCAACTTTGCAAGATCTTTTTTTTCCCCGTGAGAAGTTGAAATTGACTGATTGATTGAACCTTTTTTTTGTGCACATGGCGGCAGAGGCCTAAAGCGTAAAGGTTTTATAAAACCCAGCTGAAGGCCTAGGACTGGGGCGAGGGCGCGCGTGCCCACAGAGAGGGCTCTGAGTGCCACCTCTGGCACCCGTGCCATAGGTTCGCCACCACTGGACTAAGGTCTCCTGCTCAAAGGGGTTTAGACTAGAAGACCTCCAAGGTCCCTTCCAACCCTTCTATGTTGGGACCAGCACGGAGCACTTTTGCCCCAGAGGCCTCTGCCCTGGAGGACTGGCAAAGCAGCTAAACTCTGTCCCAAGCCCCCACCCCCCACCCCCACCCAGGCAGGTGGTTTCCCAAATGGCTAGGGATGCTGGAGGGGAGGAGAATTTCACCAACAGCAGCAAAGCTGTAAAGACCTCCCCATTCTTGGCCCAGGAAAGGTCAGCAAGGGTTGGAGAAATGCCCCTTAGCACGGCCATGAGGGAGAGCCAGAGCCAGTCTCAAAGAGAACCACTCCTCCCGCGCGAGAGAAAGGGATTTCAAGTGACAAAGAGGAGCCACAGGACTCCCAAACCAGGAAACAGTACCTTGCACCCCACACATCCTGACAGAAGCTGGCTGCTTCCTGGCTCCTTTCGTGCTCAGGACCGAAATAAACTCTTCAGCTTCGTGCTCCCAAACATGACGTCGAGATATCCTGTGTGGTTGGGCTGTGCCCTCCTCCCTCAGGTTGCTGGGAGCCAGTGGCTCAATTAAGAAGTCTTGGCCAGCCAGGTGAAAGACGCCTTTCTGGAGAGGAAATGGCATCGGTCCCTAAATGCTCTCAGTCTGCAGAAAGTGTCAGGCCACTTCAGCATGCAGGTTTTCAGCTCACTTGATTGCAATGAGCAGGAAGATGGAAGAAACATCTCCTTTCTTCTAGGGATGGACAGAAGGGGACGGACACACATGGAGACACACACACACACACACACACACAGTTGGGAAGCTAAGAGAAACTAAGCTAAGGCATGGGGGAAACTTTGTCCTTGAGACTGCTGGGCAAATCCACTCAGCTTCCTCAACCAGGGCTGGCTGGCTGGCCTGGGAAGACTCAGGACTAAATCGGGGTTTCTCAAGCTTGGTTCCACAAGAACTTGATGGGGCTGCCTGAGAGACGAAGGGCAAAAAACAAAAGCTTTCCACTCAGATGCAGCCTGTTTTTCTCACTAGAGCTTTCCCTCCCCCCCCCAGGGATTCTGGTTTTTGTTTTTGAATGAATGAATGAATGAATGAATGAGCAAGCCTGAAAAGATTTGAGAATTACTGCTTTAGACCCAGAAGCCAGCAATCCCCAACTTTTCTGACTCTGTAGACTAGGTGGAGAGGGGATGGCTTCCCCTGCTTTAGAGCCTACGGAAGCCGTGTCCAGGGTAGCCTCGCTGATCCTGGGGTAAAAACCGACTAGCTTTAAAACAGAACTGAAAGAGGCGCCCTAAGAGCCCCCCCCCAGGCACTACGCAATTCTCCTCTGCCCCTCTGACTCCCTTGTGCCCGGTCCAGAGTGGGGGGGGGCAGGTGGAGGAAAGGGTCCGGTGGAAGCAAAGGAGGGCTTCTGTGGAAGGGGATTCAGAGGGTGTCTCCTACAGCATTAACTAGAGCAATATATTCCTAAGCACAAAGAAACATCTGCTTATAAAAAACCAAACTGTGAGATGCAGTTGGGCTGACTTCACAGAACAATGATCGTTACACCAGATGTTGAACAAAGAAGGAATTCAGCCAGCGGGAGGGAGGGTGCCAGAACCACGGCCTCCTCCCCCCCCCCTCCACCCCAAGACACTCACCAGCCCATCGCACGTGCTGAGGGCCGCCAGCCCCCTTTCTTTGTCCCAGTTCTGAACAGACCCGATCATATGACACGGGTTCCGGCTGGACGCTTGAATCCGGGCCCGAGAGACGCCTCCACACCGCTTTTCGGTGACAAAGCCGGGGGCCAGGAGGTGAGGGTTGAGGCTCAGGTTGAAGCGCAGCTGCTGCCCTCGGTGGAAGAGGGCGTAAAAGGCCCCCGGGCGAATCCGGGAGAAGACGGCCCTTTTGGACAGCAGGCGGTGGGACAGGTTGTAGGAGAGGAAGGCGCCCCTCTCGTCCACTCTGACCGGGTACACCACCTCCTGGTCCTCGTAGGCGGGATCCGGGCCCCGCGAGGGCGCCGCACCTGCAGAAAGCCCTGCGAGTGACGGGGGGATCTGCTCCCCACCCTTCGGCCTCCCTCCGGCGGGCGGGGGCTCCCCTCGCCAGGGGCCAAAGCGGCAGCAGCAGCAGCAGGTCGAGGCTGCCCTTCCCCACTTCCCGCCAAGCCCATCCCGGTAAAAAAAGGCACCGCTCTTCTCTTTGGGGGGGCGGGGGGGCTCTTCCCGGCACCCCCGCCTCCCGGGGGGCGAGTCTGCCTCGAAGGGGCGGCGGCGGAGGGGAGGGGAGCCAGCCAGCCGGCCTGCCTCGCCGAGGACAATGGGCGAGGGCTGCAGGGCGCCCGCACCTCTTTGTCGCCGCCGCCGCCGCGCCTAGCCGGCCGGCCGGCGACCGCGCAGTGCCTGTCCTCGCAAGGCGCCTCCGACTTCCAGGCGGGTTGGCGGCGCCCGCGGCCCCTCGCCCGTTTCCCTCGCCGGCCGAGAGGCAGCCCAGCGCCGGGCGCGGCTTCGGGGCCGCCTCTCCCGCACCCACCTGGGGACTCGGCGCGGCCCCCGCGGGCCAAGACGGCGGCGGCGGCGGCGGCCACCAGCAGCAGCACNGAACCGGCGCGTCTCTCCGGTGCCCTCTCGCCCGGCTTCCTCGGGCCTCGCCGTCCAGCGGGGGAAGCGGGAGGCGTCCCGGCCGGCCCAGCCTCACATCCTTGCCCAGCGCGAAGGAGGAAGCCGAAGTCGCTTTGCTCGCTGACTTCGCTTTAATTTGCTCGCCTTCCCACCGCCGGCTTCGCTCTTAGACTTTATTCAGTAGCCTCACTTGTGCAGAGTCGGGGGACGCGGCGGACCACACAGCGACCCTGGAGGTTCAGACAATGTGCTGAGCGGTGCTTGGCTGCTCTAGGATGCCTGGGACGCTGAAGGAGAAGCGCAGAGGCAGAAGTGAGTCTCTTGGTTGAGACTACCCAAAAAATAACATTAAGGTTAGATTAGGCATGTCCAACCTTCGGCCGGTGAGTCACATGTGGCCCTAGTCCAGGGCTAGGCAACCTTGGCTCTTTTATGACTCGTGGACTTCAACTCCCAGAATTCCTGAGCCAGCTATGCTGGGAGTTGAAGTCCACGAGTCATAAAAGAGCCAAGGTTGCCTAGCCCTGCCCTAGACAGCTAGTAATGTGGCCTCACAAGATCATAAACTTTTAACATTATGTGATTTATACACATTAACGTGTACTATAGTTAATGTATATGTGGCCCAAGAGAATTCCTCGCCCCTCAGTGCGGTCCAGGCAAGCCAAAAGGTTGGACATTCGTGGCTTACGGCATGTGAGAGTGCAGCAATCTTTGTTGTGAAACTCATTTGTGTATTTTGCAAACTCCACCAATTGTGGCACATTCATTAAACCATGGCTAGCTGCACAATAGCGCAATATGATATGTTGGATTGGTGCGGATAATGTGCTGTGTGCCCCACAGGGTTGCAGTGTGCCATTTTAATGATGTTACCCTAAAAAGCCACAGTTTACCTGATTCAGACAGAGCAGTCCTGGCCTGTGCTCCTTTTCATCCTGATCAATTTCCTCTAAATCCAGTTAGAGATTTGAACAGAACAGAATAACATAGCTGGGAGGGACCTTGGAGGTCTTCTAGTCCAGCCCCTGCTCAGGCAGGAAACCCAATACCATTTCAGACAAATGGTTGTCCAATTTCTTCTTAAAAACGTCCACTGTTGGAGCATTCAAAACTTCTGGAGACATTTGTGAAGCATCTCAGAATGCAATTTTTAATACTGAAATAGTTTTTATTACTATTATGCTTATATATCTCTGGCCTAATAAATAATACACTCGACTAGCTGTCAAAAGTTGCATTGCATCCTGTGGTTATTTTGGGCATAGTGGCCAGAAAGGGACTACAAAGACCATCTATAGCACAGGGCATGAAAAGGGTACCCTCCTGTGGTTATTTTGGTCATAGCAGCCTGACAGGGACTACAAAGACTATCTATAGCATAGGGCAGGGGTAGGCAACCTTGGCTCTTTTATGACTCGTGGACTTCAACTCCCAAAATTCCTGAGCCAGCATGGCTGGCTCAGGAATTCTGGGAGTTGAAGTCCACGAGTCATAAAAGAGCCAAGGTTGCCTACCCCTGGCATAGGGCATGCAAAGAGTGTCCTCCTGTGGTTATTTTGGGCATAGCGGCCAGAAAGGGACTACAAAGACCATCTATAGCACAGGGAATGCAAAGAGTGCCCTCCTGTGGTTATTTTGGGCATGGCAGCCTGAAGGGGACTACAAAGACCATATATAACACAGGGCATGCAAAGAGTGCGCTCCTGTGGTTATTTTGGAGTAGCAGCCACACAAGGAAATAATACTTACCCCAAAGAGGGCAAAAAAGTCAGGCTTTCCCAAGGTATGAAAGACTATGTTTGTTATTTTAGGGGCGAAGTCATCAGAATGCAGCCTTAGGCAGGAATAGCAGCCACACAAGGAAATCAACCTTACCTGCCGACTTCCTGTCACACATGCGCAGTAGTCCTCCACTGTCCTACACACCGACCTCCCCGGGATGGCCAACTTCCTGTCCGTTTCTGTGGCCGTCCTTCCACTTCCGTTCAGAACGACCTTCTCGGCATGGCCGACTTCCTGTCCCTAAGGAGGCGGCTGGATGCCGGTACGAGAGGCTGGGAGAAAAACAAGAGGCCAGATTGGGAACATAGAGATACAGTTCATATGTTGGCAACATACATTTCAGGGATTCTTTCTCAGGCTTAGTTGCCGCATCTGCATTTCTAAAATGGCCGTCGGGCCCTGTTTTACAGCCGGAGAGGGCAAGACAAGTTCAGGGGACAGAACGGTCGGGATTTTGAGGTTATTCTTCTTCATCTTTATTATTAGAAGCCTTGATATTAATAATAATAGAGCAGGGCTGAGCCCCGTAAGCCCCAGGAGCCGGCAGGGCTCCAGCTGATTGACACTTCCGGAAGGAGCTGGAGGTGAACTGAAGAAAAGGGAGGGGGGAGAGGGGAGAGGCTATAAAAGAACCTGGTATGGGTGGGGGAAGGGGGAAAAAGACACCAGGAAAGGTTTAATCGCTTTAAACAAATGTAATTAGTTTTACCCCCTTTAATTGAGTCTGTCTGTGGCTTTTAGAAAGTTTTCTTTGAAGGTAAATAGGCTTAATTTAAAGCTAAAGCCAACCAGCTAACTCAGGAGTCTACAAACTTAGCAACTTTAAAAGACCTGTGGACTTTAACTCCCAGAATTCCTCAAACAGCCATGAGGGCTGAGGAATTCTGGGAGTTGAAGTCCATAAGTCTTAAAAGTGCCAAGTTTGAAGACCCCTGAACTAGCTGGTAGTGCTGCATATTAATAAACATGGATAAATTCATCATACATTTGTCAGTGCAAAGGGAAAGTGATTCAGCAAAGGAACAGCCACAGAAGATATTTTTAAAACTGGTACTTTTCTCTCTTTTTTTCTACAGTTTGTAATATTTTATTAGATTATAGAATAAAATACAAAAATACAAAAGCAAATAGTAGGACACAGTGGGGAGGAAAAAGGGGAGAAAAGTGAGGGGGAGAAGGGAAAAAGAGCATACTTCCTCTGTTGCAGTAGAAGGAAGCATTAACATTGAACCTCAACTTTTTACTTTTCCATATTATAAATTAGCCATTTCTATAACAACAAATGAATCTAATCAGTAAAACCCAAAATCCCCCCCTTTTTTTAGTCATCAGGTTTTTGACAGCTTGCTAAGCATTGGTGGTACTCAAATATTGTCATGTCCTAAAAGTGGTACAGTCTGTGAAAAGGTTGAAAAGCCCTCATCTATATAGCACAAGGCATGAAAAGAGTGCGCTCCTGTGGTTATTTTGGGCATAGCAGCCTGAAGGGGACTACAAAGACCATCTATAGCACAGGGCATGAAAGAGTGCCCTCTTGTGGTTATTTTGGCCATAGCAGCCTGACAGGGACTACAAAGACCATATATAACACAGGGCATGAAAAGAGTGCCCTCCTGTGGTTATTTTGGGCATAGCAGCCAGAAAGGGACTACAAAGACCATCTATAGCACAGGGAATGCAAATTGTGCCCTCCTGTGGTTATTTTGGGCATGGCAGCCTGAAGGGGACTACAAAGACCATATATAACACAGGGCATGTGTTATTTTGAATAGCAGCCACACAAGGAAATAATACTTACCCCAAAGAGGGCAAAAAAGTCAGGCTTTCCTAACATATCACATCTTTCTTGCTGGGGGGGAGGGGCAGTTGCTCATCTTTTCTTGCTGGGGGGGAGGGGCAGTTGCATGAATGGAGTGGTAACTAAAGACCTACAAAAGCTTACTCAGCAGTCGCTCTTCCTGTGTTCAGGAGAGGTAAACATGTAATTTTGCTGATGTGTTTTGTCTGGGTGGAATGGAGCCCTGGCTCCTAGGTTTTCCAGCTCTGGGGGCAATATAATAACTCCCTTCCAGCCTAGGATTCTGTTCTAGAAACTGACCGGCAAGATGTCTATGGAGATTCTCAGTCATCCAGGTCATGGTTGTCCCAAAGGTGCTTTTTCAAGAGGCAACTGGACTTTCTTGTTTTTCTTTGAAGACCTTTCACAGATCTGTACATTGGGGAAACAAAACAACCACTCCACAAACGCATGACACAACATAGGAGAACAAATCCATCAGGATAAGTCAGCAGTCCATCTGCATTTAAAAGACAAAGACCACTCTTTTGAAGACAGCAAAGTCCACATTTTGGAAACTACTGGTTTGAAAGAGGGGTCAAAGAGGCCATCTAGGTCAAAATTGGACATCCCTCTCTCAACAGAGGGGGAGGGATCCGACATCAGTCAGCAGTTCCAAGAAGGCACCACACCCACTTGCACCATTCAGGTGATCCTGAAGACAGATAAACCTCCACATCAGCTCTTTTCTCCAGTGCTCCAGGTTTGAAAGAGTTTGTTCAGTATTCCAAAATCATGTCTACCAGCTCCTTTGGAATCTATCTGGTGATTTGAATCTATCTGGTGATTTGAACTCATCTAGAGCAGCTAGGGGTCATCTAGATTGGCTAGATGTTGTCTTACCATTTTCTTGCCTATTTTGACTTGCAGTCATATTTTGTGTCCTACAGTATTGCTTATGTCAAATTGGAGTATTTTTTCTTTTTGCATGAAGATAGATGTAAAGAATGAATTAAGCAATTCCACTCGCTCCCTGCCAGCCATCACCTCGTTATCTTTCCTGTTAGTGGACCCATCATTTCCTTGACTTTTTTCTTGTTTCTTACACATTGAAATAAACTTTTTCTGAGAAAGGAATAACTGTTTGCTGTGCAATCTTCCTGCTTAATTATACTGAAAAAATCCAACAGTGTCTGACCACATCTTGAAGTAGGTTGTTGCATCCAGACCCAAAGTTATTTTCTGACACTCTTACATTATGAAAACAACTGCAGTACAATTAGTAGACACACCAAAGGACAATAAGACATTAAAAACCTTTATTTTATTTTATAAAGCAATTTTACATGAAGGACAAAGTCAATTCCATATATCTTGATAATTTCTACTGCAAAAAAATTCATGTCCTGCCATATAGAAAACTAGCCTGTGCACATTGTGCTTAAACCACAAAGTCTGTACAATTATACAAAGGATTCATTGCCCTTCAAAGGGCATCCTGTAAACAATTTATTGCATATTTGTGTAAATCCTGTATGTAAAGGAAATAAAAACAAAAGGAACACACAAGAACCAGGAGGATGAAGCACCTGCTTGGCAGTCAATCACTGAGAATGGCACCGGAAACGGCCACATGCCGATGGTTGTGCTTGAGCCGCTGTCTCCTTAAACACAGTGCAAACCTCTCTGTACAACAATGCAAACAGGAGCAGTTGCAAGCTCTGAAACCACAAGTGCATAATCCTTGTTCCTGAAATTATTCTGTTCTGGCTTTCCTATAACTTCCCCTCTGTTTTTTACATTTTACTTTGCCTTCTGAAATTCCTTATCATACACCCTTTTGTTATATAACTATGAGGCCTAATGCAGACATGACATTTCTTAAGCAAGGAGACCAAGTGGCTTCCCGTGACTGCCACCATCTATAATTCACAAAAGCCATTGATGACAAGGTCAAATCCAAAGCAGGAAGAGGTGAACGGCTGACTGCATCATACAAGCATTACCGAACTAGTTATCAATTTTATAAAGATTGACAAGTGTAACAAATCAAGTGTGTCAGGAGTGGTAATACAACATTCAGATGACACCGCCATCTAAGGTGAATCTCTCCCATCATACATGGTGATTCCTGCTCATAGTCAGTGCAGCTTGCCAACAGCTGCCTCTGATCTTTGTCATCTTCTAGCTATTTCAACCTATTGAAATTTTCAGGGGAATTTTAGGTTTCTCTCTGACAAGAGACTGTAAAGGAGCCAGTGTGCCATGGTTGACTATTATCGCAATGGGCGAAGACCTACAAGCCTGGATACCCTAAGGATGCTTGCATGAGGGAGCCACAGAATGAGCAATGCCGGTGTTCTTACTGCATGAGAAAGTTATGAACACGAGAGTTAAGGCACTAACAAATCAACAAAGCGGTACAATCAAGAAATCTGCACACACTGCTTCAAATACAAATGGCCACCAACTGCAAAAATAAGGGGAAATTCATATATTGCTTGGATATATACATAATCAGTTGTTGGGAAAACGTCCTATGTCCTTTTTTGGTATCACAATGAGGGTGAGCATTTCCAAATCTCATCAAATAGTTAGCTCTCTAACTATTTAACCCAGCAGCAATCAATGTTCCATGCAGGGGATGGGATAGCTTTCTTCTGGACAGAACTAGACGGGTGGGAGGAGTGACAAAGTAGTGGGGAAACTGGGATGACTGGCTGCCAAACAGATGGAAACTGTTTCTGGAACACAATTGTTTGATCCTGTCCATAAGAAAATGTTATTACCCTTTCTACCCATCTTAATAAGAACATATTAACTTACATGTCTATTCCATCAACAGTATGAAGTTATTTTCATTCTCTGAAGTTCTGTGTACATAAGACACCCACAGCTTCCCCTTTGCAGTCTACATATTCTTCCTCCCAAATTCTCTGCTCCAAGAACTACATGCAAGATTTCAGAAGTTTGCATCTTCAGACAGACACAGCTCTCTCTCTCTCTCTCTCTCTGATTCTTAAAAATCAAGAGGCTTGATAGTTGGAGGGCTGCAAAGTTACTTCTAAAAATGAAAAAGTTTGAAATGAGGCATGTTATCATGGGAAAAGATGAACATTGGGAAGGATTCTGAAATCAAAAGATCCCAACAGCTCTTTAACAGAGAGGTTGATGCTATAATATATATGAAAAAAAATGAAATGTCAGAACGTGTTCAAAGCTTTAAAATACTAAAATATACCTTTTATTATTTCTGTACATTTTGCAATATGGGAAGGAAAAGAAATTGTTTTTGCAATGTACAGTATCTGGTTGTGCTGCATGAGAACTGAGGCTCACAAAGCTTTTAGACAGGATTGTGAATTGCTTATAAACGGAATTAGATTAGCTGATCTGCTAAAATATCATCCAGTGACATTTTAACTTCTATGAAAAAAGCTGACCCTCTGAGCTGATTCTTAGGCAGGCAGCATGATTTATAGGAATAAATCATTTATATATTCACTTTCTATCAGCTATATAGAAACAGTCAAACACAGAAAAGCTGCTTATAAGCAAGATGCAGATTGAGAAGAATTTCAAGTGCGAAAATGGCATTTTGCGACAGAGATGGCATAACTCACATAACTCTCTTTCTGATGGAAGCCCCATCAGTCTGCTTAGAGAAAACAGAGGTTACTCTACGATTCAGAATATCTACACAGATACATGTGAGTTTCACAGAACTGCTCTGACAATACAATGACAAATTCCAGATATCCATGGAAATTTTTCAAGAACGTGTCCTTAGGCAGAATTTAGAAACAGAAATTTAAATAACAGTCCCCAAGTAGCTAGCATTGTTTAGAAAATCGGCTAGGCAGGAGAAAAATGTAGAACAAGTAGTATGAATATCTGATTCATATTATGTAATTTTAAAAAGTACAGAAACATTCAACTCACTTTCATGATCAAGAGTGGCTGCAAAAAGAAAACAAGCAAACTGCTTGTTGTATTTCAGACATTCTAACAAAATCAGAGAATTATTTTTCCAAATAATATACATTGTATTTCAACCAATACAAGCCTGAAAGAAAACAGTTCAAATTTCTCAAGAAATTAAACTATTTACATACAAAAAAACCCAAACGGTGTTACATGAAAAAGAGTAACAGGATCAAAATTCAGTGGAAGAATGCTGATCAAGGCAAGGGAGACACAATCAAAATGGCTACAATATTTGTGCAATCAACTCATCCTGCTTGTAGTTGTGCTCGAAGAACAAAACATTCAAATGGACAGATGGACACCATCCCACCAAGAACCTCTGGTGCAAACCTCACAGGAGGCAATTGAGAAGTGGGCAAGCACCGGGTGCACCTTCTACAGCTCCTTCTGCTTCCAAGGAGCTTCACCAACATTCCTGGAGAAGTCTCTTCCCCAAGAGATTTTAAAAAGAATTAACAAAATCACTACTGGATTTATCCCTCAATACAGAAACCAAAACATTGTGGTATTTTTTTCCACAAGGGAAAAAATAACATACCAACCAATCTGGAAAATACAAGCAATACAATAAAGCTACTTTAAAAAAAAACCTGTTTCTTTTTAAGGAAAGGGAAAATGGATTCTCATTTTTCTGCAAAATTCCAGGCAACAAAATAGGGAGTCTATAAAGAATTTCTCTTAAAAGAAGGGGGGAAATCAGAAGTATACATTATATTCTGCATTGAGTATCATGGATCACTGTGATAAATAAACGAGTTCAGTTAAGTTTTGATTCAGTCCAATCATTGGATGCCTGCTCTAATGCCATCTCCAAATCTAAAGTATTTATCCTCTGGAATGCAATTGATTATAAAGGGGTTTCAAGGAAATCATTTAAAAAAAAAAACCCAGCATACACATACACACACGCACAACCCCCCCAGACACCATTGTTCAAGAGGTCCGCTGCTCTACTTAAAGATGGCCGTTCCCAAGCACAGCAGACCAAGGAAATGTGGTTTTGGTTATCAGCTCAGCTTAATTGTGCTTTGCCCTGCTGCCCTTCAGGTAGCTCTTCCATCGCCTGACAAACTCTTTAAACACGGGGGCCTCGTCTATGGTGCCCAGCAGTTGGAGCTGATTGATGTGGGTGGTATGATAATCCCACCGGGCCAAATTGGGAGCTGTGCCGAGGAGGAAGTGGCGAAGGTCATAGATCGTTCCTGACCCCGTGTCGTAGAGGGGGAGCATCGCCTTTAAGGAGTCCATGCCCCTGTCGTACAGGAGCTTTGCTTCTTTTCCTAGCTTCTCAGCAGCTGTCTCCTTTAAGTCATATAACCCAATTAGAGAATACATGAATCCGTTTAAAACAAAGGAGCTGGGTGAGGTTGGATACTCCTCGTACCAGTCGTACTGGTTCATGAAGACAGCCCTCACGCCGTGCTGCTCCGACAGGAGCTTGTAAGGGGCTGTTGCCCGCAAAGCTGAACTGAGGAAGGTATGGTCCTTTGTCAACAAGTAAGCCCTAACCAAGGTGGAAATCGCCTGTCCTTGTGCCATGGCAGAGTACCAACCTGGATCCAAAGACTTAAATCCTTCCCCTAGTTTCCGAGTTACCATGATTGGCCAGCCACCCTTTTCATCCTGGTTCCTCACCAACCAATCACTGGCAGCAAAAAAGGCTGCCATGTGGGCAGTGGTTGAAATTGTGATGTTGTCTATGAAGCCCTTTCCCTTCACGGTCAGCCTCACCACTCTTTTGGGCATAATTTTGGTCTGTTTGACCACTTTTGTGTTAGAGAGTCCAACACCCTTTCTTAAATCAGTTACAAGATCTCGTGTGATTGTGCTCCAACTGGTCCTGGCCCCGATTCCATAGAAAATGTCTTTGTCTTTAAAAGCAATCAATTGAGAATTGGAGACATAATGCACCGTAAACAGTTGGTTCTTCTCTGTTGTCTCAAGAACCACGGAAACGCTCCCGTTTGTTAATAATCTAAGGTCAAAAGAAATGACAAAATCTTTTGTGTTCCCCAGCTGGAGAGATGCTCCCTCGGAGTTTTCTGAAGGGAAACAAATGAAGAAATACGGAGATGGTCAGGAAGCAAAGTGTAAGGGTTTTTTCTGTGTACTGAAGAACTGACCCATCAAAGTAGTTCCCTCAATTAGCTGATCAGCCAAGATGCATGTTTTAGCAAATGCCCAAGGAATCACAATCGATAGGGTGAAATAAATATATCAGCTTGAATCCCTTCATTATTACACATTAATAATAATAATAATAATAACTTTATTATGGTCATAGACCAGCAATATTATTACACATTAAAAACATGAAGAAAGGTCAGGCCAAAAGTTTGTGCTTTATAAAGCTAAATCTGGCAGCAATATCCCTATTGGTAGAAATCAATTAGAAATTTCCAACTCACAGCTCAAATGAGTGTCTCTGGCTTTTGAGGCCTTTCCCAGCCTCATCAATGCTTGTTGCTCACATTTTTTAGGTGCCACCTGTTCCTTTCTCAATTTAACACCCCAAAGCTCTTCTTTCCTGCCTGCCTCCTTTCCATCTCTCCCCCCCCCCAGCTCTATCTGATCAGGCACTGCTCCCTCCCTCTATTCTGCCCAGCTCAATATTATCATGAGGAGGCATTTCTGGAACAGTGACATTCTTCCTACAACACTTGGTCAACCAGGGTGTTATGGTGAATGCTGTCCAGGCCACAATGAAATCAGGCTCCATGTGACTTCCTCAACATGGTGTTAGTTTGGAACCAGGTATGTACAATGCTAAATCAGGGACATTCAAATTGGAAGATTTTGGTAGTCTCAAGTGAGTTTTTGTGCACACACACCAATCTCATGACAGTTCAACTATTTGGAAACAGTGGGGTGAGGGTGGGAAGCGACGTCCAGGTACATTGACTAAAACTGTGTACATTCCTCGTGTCTTCTGGGTCTCCAGAATGGGAGTCATGAACCAGGAATGGCGAATTTTACATAAAAGGAAAGGCAACTTGCTGTCCACTTGCCTTACATTGACTTACCAGGAACAACAAACTGCTTGACATTTGTGAATCTGGATTTGTCCTGCATTGTTGTGACAAAACAGCCTTTCGGAACCATCCATTTGCCCGGTTGACTGCCCTGCTCCCTCTCTTCTGCCGTTTCATACACTTCAACATGGGGAGGTTTCTCAGTCAGATTTTTGCTGTAATGGCTGAGCCCATATTGGGCAATCTGGATGGGGTAAAAGTAGCCTTGAGGTCCCCATTGCGTGGAAAGCGGCACACCTGAAACATAAGAGAACATTTCATACATCTCTGTGCCAAACTCCAGGGTAGCTTTTATCCCTGAAACATCCCAGCGTTTCTTCAAACTGGCCATTTTTCTCCTGGAACATTCCAATGTGGCGTCTAGGGATGCTTGATCTGTTTCTGTAATTTCAAAACAGGCATATTTCCTGTTTTTGTTTACCCTCGTCTGACTAACATTTCTGGAGAATGTTAAAACCTCACAGGTACTGCACCAGTTGGTAGAATAAAGATACTGCTCAGTGTGGATTTCTAAAGGTTTCAAATAATAATGCTAAACTGGAATTTTCTGTATTTAAGCCTTGACAGATGTGTAGCCTATTTCTACCCAACTACGCAAATACCAAGGGATACTATCCAACGCAGTTGGGAGGGCTTAACGCAATGTTTCTCAACCTTGGCAACTTTAAGTCATGTGGACTTCAACTCCCAGAAGTCTATGCCAGAGTTTGGCATAGAAGTCCACCTGAATTAAAATTCGCCAGGGTTGAGAAACATCGGCTTAACCCAATTACGACTTCTTTCCTGTGTGCTTGCATCAGGGAACACCCTCCCCCCCCCCAAAGAGAGGTTTCCTTCTCTCCGTTATTGGCTTTTAGACACTGGAGGGCGCTAGAGAGCCAATGGAGGATAAAACCTATGGCTTGATTTTTTATGTTTAATTTTATATCATGGATGCCGTTGTAAATTTATTGTGTTCTCAAAGGTCATGTTTATTCTGTTTCACTATGGAACAAAAACAATATAATTAACATGAACCTCAACTAGTTCATTAAATTTCTGATTAAAATCCATCTTGATTTTTGAAATAAAGGACAAAACCTTTTGGTGGGTTATTTCTTTCAGCTTCCAATACTGAAAGGAACCTCTAGTTTTAAAGTTTTAATATAAGCATTGAATCAAAATTTAGCTATCCTCATAAATCTTGACGTATTTTGAATAAAAATAACAAACCTTCAACCCCACTGATGCATTTCACTCTGTCCCGGACTTCCACATTATAGCCCTCAAATGACATAAAGACGCCGTCTGGATGGTAGGGGGCTCTCTGGGCGTATACTTTGGAGTAACTATGGGAGAACTCAAACCGGTCGTAGCCATCGTATTGGGCAAGTTTCCCATAAACCTCAAAGTATTTCTCCACCCACGAGAAAGGCAGAAAGACCTCACTCCCTTCCCTCCTGCCTTTAATGGTGTGCTCATCGTTGATTAGACAGTCAATTTCTTCGTATTTCAGCCCTAAGATTTTGTTGCCATGGAAGCCCCCAGCGATGGGGGGAGCCTTCTGCTGCTCCTGGGGCGACGCTTCCTCACTCTGCTGCTTAGCTGCTCTGTTCACACACTGGCCGCTCTCTGATGCAGCCACGCGCTTCTCTGTTCCCCCTGCTTTCACACCGTCGCTCGAGTCATGCGGGAAAGGTGATATTTTTCCACTGGTGCATCGATTCCACAGCAGGATGGTAATCAAGGAGAAGAAAATGCAGATGACAATCAAAGTCTTATAGTTCACCCGAGCTGCTAAGCAACGCATATTCATACCATACCTAAAATAAAAGTTAAATTCAATTAAAAGTCGGCGTGAAAGAGCAGATTGGGCACATGAAACAATATGCAACCAGAAGAGTGCCGAGCCCCAGCTGATCGCTCTTGGGGAAAGAGCACGCACACTGTTTTTTTTTTTAAAGTTTTTTTCATTTTTAAATAAAAATATATATTTTAAAAAGAATGAAGGGAACCAAAGGTTACAGTATTAATTTCAACATTAGCCACAAGAGGGAGCAAAAGACTAACCGTTCTTGAACTTACTAGGAGCATTTACGTGGACAATAACTAAGTTATAGAGAAAACGTTTTGCAAAATCTGTGCCGTGTGTGTATTCCTGCCTAGGGAGAATTCAAATAATACTTGCATCAAATGTAAATTAATTGGACTACTAAAAGAGGAATTACAGAGTCTAGAGGCATCCCTGAACACAAAGAACTCCCAGTAAAGGCAGAGGTCTGAATCCAAACTTAACATAGCAAGAAGAAAAACAAGTACCAGGGAAAATGAACCGCAAGAGCAGTTCACACGTGTCTGGCTGAGGAATTCTGGGAGTTGAAGTCCACAAGTCATAAAAGGGCCAAGTTTGAAGACCCCTGCGCAAGAGTAAGTTCTAGTCCTCCCTATGACATAAAGTTAGCCATGACCTTGGGCCAGTCACTGTCTCAGAGTCCTAGGAAGGAGGCAATGGTAAACTACTTCAAAAAAAAAACCTTAAGAAAACTGCAGTGACTAGTCCAGTCAATCACCGGGAATCAAAACTGACCTGAAAGCAGTTGTGTGTACATGTGTGTGCCCGCGTGCGCATGTATCCACCCAGTCCCTGGGGGAATATTTGGACAGAATCAACATTGTAAAATGCAAATATTGTATCTTTGTCAAAGTATGTATTTGATAATAAAAAGAGCTCAGGGATAACTGTTTCCCCCAAATTACTGCCAAGCACTACTACACCAGCTTTGCATCTTTCTGGGCTATCAGCCAGCTGCTAACCACTACAGGCCTTTGCAGTTTACGCTCTACAAATAAACAATCCACAGTATGGAAGCAGATGGCAGAAAATCTTTTTCGCCATACTGTAGTAGCAGACTCAAGCCTGTTGTGTCTCTGCAGCTGTTTGCCAAGGCTGCATCATTCACACAAACCTCAAGAAACTGCCGCAGCCTCAGATGCCCAGTCTGCGGTACCGACAATGCACAGATAGCACTGCTCTTGAAAATGAGCCTATGCAGCTTAACATTTCCAACTAGCTGCTCATCTGAAAAGTATGGCAGAAGGGAGGGAAGCTGGCTGAGGTAGTTTAGCCACTCTATTGCGTGCTGCAGCAAATGGGACCTCTGTGCCTGCCCAAGAAGGTCTAGCACAGGGGTAGGCAGCCTTGGCTTTTTCAATGACTCCTGGACTTCAACTCCCAGAATTCCTGAGGCAGCTATGAGTCATAAAAGAGCCCGGGTTGCCTACCCCCGGCTGTTAGCAATAAAGAGCCAGTAAAGCCCCCTGCTCCTCTGGCAAGAGCCCGTCTCTGTCTAAAGCAGCCTTGGCTCCTTCGTTAGGAGTTACAGACGGCCGTCCAGCCTCCATCCCAGGGCCCCGGAGGAGAGCCTGGCAGGCCACACACCGGCTCCAGCCATCAGGGAGGGAAGGGCGGGGGGTCTTTCCTCCTCCGACTGTCGCCTCCCGAGGCAGCGAGGAAACCCACCTCCAGGGCCTCGGGCTGAGCCGGGCTGCTTCAAGCGGTCGCCGCGCAGAAGCCGCAGCGGGAAGGGGGAGCGGCGGCGCCGCCGGGCGTCTCTGGGGCGAAGCTCCGCGGGATCGGCCGGCGGGTCAAGGGCGCGGCGGGAGGAAGTCGGTCTCCGGCGGCCCCTCAGCCGCCCTCCGGGCACCGTCACAGGACGCCGCCAAGGCGCAACCGGCCGCGGGCCCCGGCCTCCAGTCCGCCCACAGCGCGCGACGGCCGCCTCCGTCGCATCTCAGCGCCCGAGAAGCCCCCCCCCCCCGCCGAGCGGGCCCCGGGCGGCGAGGCCTTCCTTCTTCGGCGCGCACGGGGGCTCCCAGGGCAGCCCGGCCCTCCCGCGCGCCCGCCGGCAGCTCCAAGGCCGCCCGCCTCGCTCCGAGGTGCTCAGCCGGTCCTCGCCGTAGCAGGGGCGGCAGCCTCAGGGGAAGCGCGAGAGAGCCGGGAGCCCAGCGGAGGCCGGGCGGAGCAGGCCCTGGCCGGCGCGCCTCCGTCTCCCTGGCAACGCGGGCCCCGCCCCCGGCGATGAGCAGAGCCCCTCCCTCTCGGACGCGCTCGGGAAGCCCGGCTCGCTCCCCCCCCCCTCACGCCGGCCTCTCCGTCGGGCCGCCAGTCGCAGCCAGCTCGGCACGGAGGAAAGCGACTCCTCTCTTCTCGCCGACTTCCCGCGAGAGCGCCTCGGTGGGAGGGCCTCTGCAGGGCGCCGTCCAATCGCCGCCGCGCCGCGCCCCCGAAACCAATGGCAAAGCCGTTCCTCTCTTTCGAGCGGAGTCCAGAGGGGGCCAATGGCGGTGCAGCAGAAGTAGCCGTTTGCCAATCGCAGAGAGTAGGGGGCGGGGCGGCACAATTGAAAAAAAGGTGTTTGAATTTAACTTTAAACATTTATGTTGGAGCGCCCTCTTCTGGTTGAAAGAAATAGAAGGGAGGGGAGAAAGCCAAGCTCAAAAACATATACCAGGGATGGCGAACCTTTTAGAGACCGAGTGCCCAAAAACCTGGAAAAAAAAGATTTCCAGTGACTGTCTCATGATTAAAAGCAAGTGGAGAAAGAACCTTAGAGGAGATTTTTTGCAGTATTCTTTATTTTGATGCATTGTCAGTTGTTCATAATGCATTAGACTTAATACTTTTGTTGCTATTATTCTACATTTATTTCCACATGTTACTTTACTTGCTGCTTTGTATGGAGTTAGTTAAAGCAAAAGAGACTTGTATTAAATAAGCAAGCAAGCAAAGAGATTCTTACCAGCTCTATGGAAACCTTGTACATATTTCCATCATCATCATCATCATCATCATCATCGTTGTCATCATCGTGTAATATAATAATTATATATGATAATGATTTTTATTTAACACCATAAAACAACATCTGCCTGTCCCAGGTCCTTGGGAAGAACTTGATAGGGTGGATAAAAATGCCAAATCTAGTCTAAACATTGGGCTGACTATGCAACTTACTATAATGACAAAGGACAAAAACAAGAGAATATTTGAGTTCATTAAAAACAAGCCATTAAAAACAAGCCAGACTGGTCCATCTTACAGCTAGAAGTTTTCCCTGAAGAAGGGAAAGCTGAACTGTTCACAGTGAGCTTTGAGGACCTTGGCAAGAGCTGGAGAGCCACAAAAGAAAACCTGGGCTTTTCCTTTGTCTTCTTTGTCAATTTTCTGAAAGAGCTGAGAAAGAGAGAAAAAGCCATCAGCAGCTGAAATGCATTGTCTCTTTCTGCCTTCTTTTTGATAGCAATTGACACATTGCTCAGTGGCATTCCAATCGGCCTCTAAGCCTGCCTATCTATAAGTCTATATATCTCCTCTTTCTCAGTAAGAGCTCAGGAAAGGTTCTGTTTTAATTCTCAGATTCCTTTTTTTTTTTTTTTTTTTTTTTATAAAATTTTATAATTCTCAGATTCCTGATGCTTGAGATTGGACTTTTCATCTCCATCAATCTGTCTTGGGAAAGCGACTCCATCTGAAGACATAAACTTCTCTTTTCTGCTTAAAGCTTCTAGTAGTCATTATTCCATTTTGTCTGGGCACAGTTTCACTTTGTTGATCCTCATTCCAAGATCGGACCCAACTGACGTGATGCACCAGATGAGCAGAATAGAATACCTTCCACCGAGAACACTTCATTCCATTCTCCGTGACCTTATCTAGCAGTTATATGTGGATGTTAAAAATCTCCCATAGTCTTTGTGAACTGAATGTAAGTAAAAGAAGATCCTTAAGAATATCTAAGTACAGATGACAAATGTTCTTGACCTACAGTCGTCCTTTCTTGAGATAACATTTATAGTGGCCCCAAAGTGATACTGAAAACTCTATGGTGCCCTGTTATGATTGTGCCAAATTAGTTTTATGACTATAAAACATTATCCAGAATGACTATTCTATGTAAGCTGCAAAATGTGGGGCAGGGTATCATAGAGTTTTTTGTATCCTTTTGCTTGTATTAAGGCTACAATTGCTTATCACAGCAATCCTTTGGAGAAGGGATATCCAACGTACGTTCTCATGCTCTAAATATGGCCACTGCCCCAAAAGGATAGCCTTCAACTTGGCAATAGCAAAGGAAGAAGATGCCACGGGATGTAAAGTGTGCACAAATAGGGTCTATATATTTTCAGAGGTTGGTGTGATTCCTTGGATAGTAGCAATTTCGGAAGAGTGGACTGCTGTAACCCTTCCTCTCCAACCGCTGACCTGCCCCCTGAAAAAAGAATGCTGAGATCTAAAGGCCTACAGGAGCTGCCACCCCCTTGACTGATGTGACCAGAGATTTGTTTGCAGAGAATAATGCAGCTCCACTAAGATTCAGGATAGGTTTTAGCTCCCCAGCAGCCCAGGATGTTACCCCTCTTTCTCATGGCACCTTGTGTCCGAGGGAGGGGGAAAAATCCAGATAGCTTAAGCAACTCCATCTGAAACTAGAACAGACCTCTCCCTGTCCTTGGACTATGGATAGGTAGGAACTGGTGCCAGATGTGTAGGCCTCTTGTTGATTGCTCTATTAATCTTTCTTACTGCTTGCTCAAGGGTATAAAAGATGCTTGCTGTTGCTTATTGGTTGGGAAGACGTTATCTTGTCTTGCCCCTGTGTTGCTTGTCATTAAGTGCTTTTGTCTGGACATCTAGAGAGTGGTGTCTGGCCATAAAACCAACTGCAGGAAAGACTTTCTCTAACCAAGCTACAATCTGGACTGGGCTACAAAATGACTACATGTTTTTAGGTGTGGTTTAGAGGAAAAACC